ACTCCTTCTCACGCAGAGCACGTTTAACATCGGAGTCAAACCAGGGCGGGAACTTAGCTTTCAATGTCACTGTCGGAACAAAATCAGCAACAGCTGCCTCTACCCACTGATAAAATAGCCCTGCAGCGTCATCCACATCCATGTCATCCAACACGTTCCATGGTAAAAGACGCAAACACTCCTTTAGTCCAGGGAAGTCCGCTCGGCGATAGTTGAGCGCCGTGCTACGGGTAACACGTACAGGAATCTGACGTGGGATAGAGAGTGATACTACGGTCTGCATGTGGTCTGACTCAAACAGACCAGCATCCACCTCGCACTCACAGTGATTCAAATTTGAGATCACTAAATCGAGCATTGCATCATCACGAGTCGGCTCACAAACATGTTGCCTCAATCCATGGTGGGCAAGCATATCACAAAATGACAAAGCACGGGCTGTCCTACGCTGGAATACAGGGTAGTTGTTGGCGCCTGTCCATACAATCTCGGGCAAATTAAAATCGCCCAACAACAGCAGAGGACGATTGCCGACACACAAGTTGTCCATGGCACTAATGATACTCCTAATGACGATACTTTTAATCCAAACTCCTAATCAAACTCCTAAACTCCAAACTCCTAAATCAAACTCCTGGGTAGAGGCAGCTGTTGCTGATTTTGTTCCGACAGTGACATTGAAAGCTAAGTTCCCGCCCTGGTTTGACTCCGATGACATCCATGTCATCCAAACTCCTAATGATACTGCAAAGTTGGCGGCGCTGCGCGCCGCCGTTTTTACGCTATCTTCGAAAAACCTTAGGGGGGGGGGGTCGCATCCGGACCCCCTGCCAGGGCGAGGGTTTAATGTTCTGAAAAAAAAATTAAGTGAATTAAGCCTCGCCGGGCCAGGGAGTTTGATGCAACCCCCTAAGGTTTTTCACAAATAACGTAAAAACGGCGGCGTGTAACGCCACCAAATTTGGCACACCCTCTGGAGCAGCCTTTTGGCACCTTCCCTAAGGTTTCTGCCATTTCAGGTCAGGTCACCAGGTCACCAAAACCGGTACAATGCCAGGGTAAATTGAACTATATTAGCGGCAACGGAATCGCTAAGTTTACCTATCGTTAATTGCGTAAGAACCGTGAGACTTGGGAGCACTTAATTTCAGACACAACTTGGGGCAGCCATTTGACACGTGTCCTAGGAGTTTTGTATTCCAGTGACCTCAGGTCAGGTCACAAGGTCACAAAAACCGGTACATGGTCAAAATGGCATTGAAAATGTGCTCTTTTGTCAATTAAATCTAGAGTTGCTCATCGATTTGATTAAAACTAGCAGGATATTCTAAGCTCACCGAGCTGTATAACATTCATTCAGGTTTTTAAATTTCGGATGACCTGAGGTCATCTAGAGGTCACGACGAAAAAGTTCGGTTCATGTGCTGAGCCTTGGTGACCTGACCTGTGACCTGACCTGGTATTATCAGTGACCTCTAATAGCAACTTATGTACTAGGCAGCTTACGCCCTATCCCTGATTTTCGAGAAAATGCGTTTTACTCGATATTATAGCGCATTCCCTATAAGACCCGTAAACGGTTAAACATTTTATCTTTGACCTGACCTGTGACGTCATTGGTGACCCTGAGGTCAATAAAATTTGATTTCCCTCAACAAATTTGGCAGGACTATCGAACGCCGCTCGAATTTTAAGGATCCGTCCAGTAGTTTCGAAGATACGGGGGGGGGGGCAAAAAGTGCCCCCCCCCCCTCCCTCCCCACCGCGCGGAAGGAAGCCGGGAGGCCCACCGCCTGCCGGGTTAAGTACCTAAGTAATTAAGTTCAAGTTAATCAAAGTGCATAATATCGCATATCATTCGAATCGGCTCATCACCAGAACTATAATGACACTATTTGTGAAGCTCTAGCCTCATTGTGTGCCAAGTTATTAGCAAAAAAGTAGTTTGACCGTAGATGACCTAAGTTGACCCGACGACACTAGCGTTCTTGTAGCTTGCAAACACCAAATAGATGTAAATCAAGGTAATAAAACACAAAAACTTTGAAATGGAGCACCAATATGTCATCTATACATATTTAAACCCATTCGCGCAAGTTTTCTTAACATTTGTCATGGCCTTTAGATGAACTCAGGTCAACCGAATTTGAAAAAAAAAACTGTGATGCAGATGATGGCACTCGATGAGCTAAGTATAATCTGCAAGCTTGAATCAAATCGATGAAGACCTGTAGTTTTCATGAACTGAATAATGCGTTTTAACCCTATTCCTGGCGGGCTCCGCCGGGACAAGAAACTGGCGGGGGGGGGGGGGCCGATTCGGCCCCCCCTTCAGATCTCAAAAACTACACATCGCAGCGACAAACGGTAAACGGCATCGGATACGCACGGTCAAGATCTACAACTTTTACAAAGGTCATTTTCAGGTCAGGTCAAAGATGACGTCACAGGGGTCGAAAAAGTCAAAATGGCGGCGCTAGATATGGAGAGAGTTTTTCTCGAATAACTTTCGAATTAGTCAAGATAGGAACAAACTAAGGGCATCATCGTGATCCTCTCGTCAATCCGCATCGAATGATATATATGTTGACCTCGAAAGGTCAAGGTCAAAGGTTGACCTCAGGTCACGTGACCTCGAGGTCATCATGCATATCATTCGATGCGTCTTGACGAGCTGAACACAATGAGACCATCCATGCGTCTGTATCTTGTTCCTGTACGGAGTTATTGGCCAAAACCCTTTGGTGACCTTTGATGACGTCACATGACCTCACAGCTGCCCAACAGCAAAACAGACCTCAAGGTAGTGAAGGTTGATCGTATATGAAGTCATGTATGGTATATGGGGCTATTCCGACCCGTTTTAGTGGTAAAAACAGGGAGTTGATTTTTCCCCCATTGACTTATAATGGGGAGGTCGCGAAACTGACCTGACCTTAGGTCACCGATATCAAAATTCCGAGACATACAAATTGCACATACTGGTACCCTAACTAAAGCCTGAAGAGAAGAAATTGATCGGTCAAAAACTCTAGCTCTGGCGTGATTGCAAACTTTTCTGAGGTAGGGTCACCAAACCGCCTCTGGTGACCTGACCTGAGGTCAGATCAACTCAAAATTTTCAGACATGTTGCGTAGAAGCCTTTAAGGAAAAGTCAGAAAATTTGAGCTTCCTAGCTCAACGCGTTTGGGAGAAATAACCAAAAAACCTCAGGGGGGGGGCTCCTGAGCCCCCCCCCCCCCCCGCCAGGAATAGGGTTAAGTGCCATTTTGACAAGGCACCGGTTTTGTAACCTTGTGACCTGACCTAAAGTCACTGGAACTTAAAACTGGCAGGTCATGGGACACATAGATGCCCCAAGCCGCGTCTGAAATTTGGTAGGGCTACGTGCCATTGCACTCACGCTATCGACGAAATACTCTGTCACACCGTTGCCGATAAACTACATATGTAGTCCAATTTCCCCCTGACCTTGTTCCGGTATTTGTGACCTGGTGACCTGACCTGTAAGTCTGAGACCTGACATTTTCAGGATAAATACCAAAAGGCTGCCCAAGAGGGTATGCCAAATTTGGCGGCCTGCGAAAAACCTTAGGGGGTCTCATCAACCCCCCTCGCCGGGCGAGGGTAAATACTAAATACGTCATCATTGACCAAAGCTAATAATCATTCAACCGATTAATCCGATAATCATTATCAAGCTAAGTGACGGGCAAAGTTATGTGAAAGAGTGCGCTCTGCTTGCAATGTGTTTGCATCATTAGGGGAAGTTGGGGCAATGCCGGAGTAGGGGCAAAGCCGAAATTCGAGATATTTCGAAAACCGTAAGACATGGATGCCACCTGTCAGTGATGCTCTGAAGCTTAAGTGACTACAATTATCGCATGTTTGTTACGAGTCGTCATTCGGAATACTTCGACTGTGAGGGCGCCAAGAGCGTTTTCAAGGTACGTTTCCCTTGTACTACATGCGCCTTTGAAGCTGCATTTTTTACTCATTATGCTACCGTTTGTCTGGCCAATTCGGTCAAGTAATCTTTAGCATGTCTTTGCATAAGTGTGCTGCCTATTTGAAATTTATACAGCACGTTGAAAAGTTATGGGCCTGCAAATGAAAGAATGGCTGGCTGGGGTAATGCCGAAAACGTGCGATTACGCACGTGTTAAAAGCACGCTACGTGGACTTTACTGCTGTAGAATAGCAACGCGTATTTTTAGTCACACAAATTACACTTTCAACCGACACAACGGCCTGTTACCTATAAGGAACGATTTACCTGGCATTTTCTTATTATATCACACAATTATAACTTCCAGTGTGCACCGCGTCCTCAAGCTCTTGAAACGTGTGTCAGCTTTGATGAATTCTGGATAAAGTTTGAGATAAAATGGCAAAACATCAATGTCGGCATTCCCCGTAGATCATTTCTCCCATTTTCGGCTTTCCCCGCAGTCCGGGGCAACGCCGAAAAAGTCACTTCTTTGATATTTTTAGTTTGTGCGCTTAACGGTATGCGAATTCATCAAATGCGCCTGGTATGTTTGAAAGGCAAAAGACTGGCCTCTCGACTGACGCCAACAAGAATAGCGTATGTTGTCTACCTTGCGTGCTACGGGCGTCAGAAAAAAAGTCTTCGGCGTTCCCCCAACTTCCCCTACATTATCACTCATACCTGCATCGAACTGAATAGACGCCCTGGTGCAGGGCAGCTAATGCTCCCAAAAGTGCGCCTGACACCGTTAGCAGGCATTGCGCCATACACAGGTATGTATCTCGCACAATATCGTCCAATTCGCTGGGAAGTTCACACAGACAAGTGGCGGACAGAGCAAACTCCCGCCGGTAATGTGCCACAATGAGACATTTGTAGGCGCGCCGATAGCTGAGCCCCAAACCGCTTGATCCATAAACCACTCTCACTCACGGCCGTCCCGGTGCACTTCGCCGACGCCCGGCGGCTGCTCCGGTGCACGCTGCTGACGGCGGATACCGAGGTTTCATATACGGCGCGTCGGCCCGCCGCCCCGCCGAGTGTTCAGGTGCCTAGTGTCGGAGACACTTGAGCTCAAACATGAGGAGGATACTGCTCGTCGGTGAGTACGACTCAGGCATTGCCTTGTGTGGGCTATCTGGGGTAACATGAGATCGATTATGCAAGAACAAAGTTCAAAGATAGTGAAAATAAAGTATTCATTTTCCGTTATTTATTAATCACCAAGTTTACGAATATTTGAAGGCATTTAGTCCGCATTTCGGATAACATCTATCATATGTATATCACTCGCCGGTTCACGATGCGCTTTAGGTATAATTTACGGTTAATAGTTATCGACAGATCTTGGTTTAGGGAATTCGCGCGAGCAAAATCAGAACGGTGAATGCCTCTTTATGTAAATCGATCGATGAAAGAACCCGAAATTCATATGATTGGTTGCAATGCATTCGTCAGTTTTTGGAATAGCGAGTTTTGATAAACCGTAACACTTGATAAACCCCCGAAATCTTCGACTCCCATAACAATTATGATACTTAATTGGATAACACTAATGTTTACATTAGTGCGATGCACGTAAGATTGGACTATGTATATCGTATGCATTTATGCTCATCATATGTCCGACAAAACGGATGTGCATAAGGCACCAGTGGTTTTTGAATGGAGCATCAGCTGCAACTGTCATATTGATGTGTATTTTCTTTGCCATACGCTTGCCAGCGCTGTGAGAACGATTGCACCGTTGTTTGACGAGAATTCGTGAAAAAGTCGAATCTACGCGTAATCGTCGAACATTACGCGAATTTCGCGTATTGCAATAATGCTATAAGCTGTATATAGTGCCCTTTTTCCTGTCAAAATGTACACTTGTCAGTTGTCAGTATATACATTGATATGAAAATGAAATAAACGTAAAATATTCGAAAAATCGTCAAAATTACACGTATGCAACAAACCTATGCTGAATAAATTGCGGCTTTCTCCCAGTCGATATGAAGAAATTGATTTCAGGCAGGTTCTGCAAAATTATCCGGAAGCATAGTTTTTTTTTAATAGACAAACACAATTCTAATGAGAAGTGTTTTAAACCATAAGAGACAAACCTTCGGTTAAAGCTGGCGTCTGAGCTTAAAACAGTTCAACTGTTATGGTTCAGTTGTAACATTAGGAACATCTTTAACTGATTTCTGATTTGGTGACGCTTAGATTCAGTGATCCTGATTTAACCACAGGTTGTTTGAAAAGACAAACACTATTCGTTAGAATTGTGTTTTCACTATTGGAAAACAACCGGAGCAGTTTGTCACCGGGATATATTGTTGCAAGAACTTGACAGTTTACGGTAACAATTCGCATAAGATATGTATGTACATATTTCAAATATGCCAATGCATGCATGCACTCACCTGAATGTGAGTTTGGCGGTTTGATTCACTTGCCTACCACAATTATGTAAGTAAACAAAATTAGAAAAAAAAACATTGAAAGATGGAACCAAAAGTAACTCACGCGTTATCACTTTCCCGGTGCGGCTGTCTCAAACCATGCCTGAAACGTCTCTTCTCGGATGGAGGGAGCGGTGGCTTTACCGGGCACTTTATTGGTGTGAGACGCGGTGGAGCGGGAACAAGTCTCGGTTTGACGCCGGCGTCTCATATATCGCTAAGCAGAATCGACTTAACTACGAATTTAGTTTCGCATCAGCAATTTCTTTAATGGGTCAAAATGCACTTCACTGCCACTGGCACGAAAGTTTAAAAATTAACAACCTTACGAACCTGTCGTGACCGGATTCTGCTTGCGTGCTTACATCCGTAGCTTCTTAATTAATGAACCTCTAGATGAGAGCTGTAAGGTGTCGGTAGAGTTCGTTCACATATGCGCTGTTTCCGCATGTGACCCACGCATAACCTTAAAAATATTCGGTGTAGAAGAAAGTTGCCTATCTGCTCGTTTTTTATGCAATGAGGCGATGGCTTCGCAGCACCACTTCAAGTCAGTTCCCCCGCTAAGCCGATTTTCATAATGAGTTCTTAACCTTTGTTAGCCGATTGGGGACTTAAACAGAAGAAACTAGGAATGTTGGGGTGAACGCACTACTTATTCTAAGAACATGAACGAGCACCACTAGCCAAAAGTATGTTGTTATCACTTTAGGGTCAAAGCAGTCCGTTGACTTCAAATTTAGAACTTATAATAAAAATGCGTGAAGTATAGACACGGTACAAGTATATTAGGACAGACAAAGCCTTTGATTTGCTTGCTGGTATTGCTTCCTATCATGACAACTAGGCACCTAATGCCTATGCACGCGATCTGACAATTGTGTCGCCTGTGTTTCAGTCCTCTGCGCTCTGGCCGTGGCGCACGGCCAGAACCGCGGCTCGCGCCGCTTCACACCATCCCCATTCCTGGAGGGTCAGGACTGGGGGTTCGTACCGTCCAGCCGTACGACGCCTCAGCCGTGGTCCGGCCAGCCGGCCGCCTGGCCGCTCTCTGCTGGCCGACGTGGCACCAGCCGGCGACGCACCACGCCGCAGCCGCGACTCGGAGAGAATGACATCGACGACGGCTTCGGCGCCGTCTCGGCTGCCAAGGAGGAACAGGCACAGACTCCGAAGGCACCGGCGGCACCTAGACGCCAGCCTCAGAGGACACGCACCTCTGTCCGGCGACGCAGGCCCACTCGCGTCCAGGCGGCGGAGGTCACGGTGCCCGACGTGGCGAAGGTCCCCGAGGTGGCCGAGGCTGGCACTTCCACCACGGCCAGACCGGCCAGGCGTCGCACTACGTCGAGGGCGACCGAAACGACCACCCTGTCACTGCTGCGACAGCAGGTGGAGGAGCTGAAGAAACAGGCACAACAGCCGAAGAGGCGCTTTAGAGGCCGTCGTGTTAAGAAGATCAGAAGGATTATCCACCCCGGTGAAGATGAAGATAAAGACGAGGATGAGGATGAGGAGGATGAAGCGGCAAATGAGCTGCAGAAGTCCGAAACAGTGACCGAGAAGCCATCTGAGTCTACTGAAGCCTCACCTGAAGCGACAAGCACCACCACACTGAGTCCTATCATTCTGAGGCGGCAGAAGAAGATCTTCCGCCAGGGCAGTCCCCGCCGAGGCAGCGGCTCCAGGCGTCAGTTCGCCAGCAGGCGCCGTGTTGTAACCCCGGCCGCTCAACCCCCGACTGAGGCGACCACCCCCGACCCGACCACTGTCCCCACCGTGATCATCCAGACCAGCAGTCCGTTTGAGCCCTTCCCGCTGGATGACAATGAGGTGGACGATACCAAGACAGCAGACGACAAGGAGGTTAACAGTGAAGCAAGTCCCGGTACTGCGTTTACCAGAATTACCTCTACAGCGGGAGGAAAGTTATCTAACACTTCTTCGTCGTCATCTTCTTCTGCTTCAGTTTCGACGTCCGAGTCCGAAACTGCAGTCGCATCAAGCTCTCAGTCGTCTTCTGGCTCTAGCCTAAATGGTGACAGCTCTACAAACGAAGTAGAGTCATCATCAACAGAGAACGAAGTGCGTTCTGAAGGAGCGGTTGTGACCAAGACTGTTCGCAGGCCGATATCTCGCGGATCGGTCCGCGCCAGTTCCGCCTTCACCCGAACCCGCGGCAGCCAGGGCGTCTCGCGAGGATCTGGCCGAGGACGCGCACGAGGCTCTGGGCGTCAGAGAGTGTCTAGCAGCAGTGCCACGAGTAGCAGCAGCAGCACCTCTAGGCGCCAGTTCGCCCGACGCCGGCGTCCATCCGCCAGCGCGGCCGCCAACGCCATCACTACGAGCACTGCAGCTACTACCACGACCACTACCGCTGCCACAACCATCACCAACAACGACGCCACCACAACAGGCATCGATAGTCCGACTACCCAGCTAACGTATGGAAAAGATGGTCTAGCGTTCCCCAACAGTCTGGAAAGCTCTCCACCAGGACCAGGCCAGGTTGCGTTTAATTCTGGGTCTGTGACTGGCACGCCATTCCCGACGGTGTCGCCGGTGACCTCATTCGGTAGATTCCAGCCCGTAACGTCATCTAGCAGCTTCCGGTTCGGGTCAGGAGAGGCTACACGGTTCGGCGTCACCCCGCGGCCGGTATCGTCAACCACGTTTGCACCTGCATTCGGTCCAACGACCCCGGCTGTTCCCGCCCAGTTCTTCGATGGCAGTTTCGGAAACAGGAACTTTGGTCAGACTACACCCGTGACCACTACTGTGTTTGGCAACACCATCAGTGAGAACGACTTCCGTCCCACGCCCGCGTCAGAGCCGGTGACGTTCTTCTCCTCAGCGAACTCGCAGGGCGCAGGTTCGGGACGACCTGGCTTTGGAAGCTTCTCCTTTGGAGCCAACTCTGTCAGCAGTAGCAGCTTCGGCCGTACTCCTTCCTTCAACAGCGTCCCTGTCACTGCACGACCCACGTTCCGGACTACAACGGCGGAGCCTGATACTACCACATTCGGCTTCTCTAATGAAGGAAGATTCGGCTCCCAGTCAAGTGTCACCACAGGTGGCTTCAGACCCATTTCTTTCACCACACGCCACCCTGCACCGGCTTTCAACACCGACACCAACGTGCGTATCTCTTCCAACGGCGCCTTCAGTTTCGGTACTGGAGTGGCTAACCCTTCAGTCCCCGGTTCCGACTTCAGTCAGCGGGTCACCACACCGCGACCCGAGCTACCGACGGGCAGGCCGTTCACAAGCTCCTTCGGAGTTACACGCCCATCCTCTCAGGCGCGGGTGCCAGCTGTCCTCACTGAGGCGGCCCGCTTCTTTGGATTGCAGACGGGTCCGACAGTCCAGACCAACTTCGGGCCGGCCAGCTCGTCCGGAGGCTCGGTATCGACGTTCAGTCAGACTGTAGATCACCCGGCTCCCGCCTCCAGCTCCGGCAGCTTCTCGTTTGGCAGGGCAGTGACGGGCGCGAGCACGCTGGTCCAGTCTGTGGCCACCAGTCCGGCCCCGCCGGCCACCACCACCACCAGCCGGCCGGAGACGCTGCCGCCGGCCACCGAGTGGCCCCAGAGTTTCCCCTCTGTCACCGAGTGGCCGAAGAGCTTCGCCTCTGTCACCGAGTGGCCGCAGACCAGTCCTGCTGCCGAGCCGCCAACCAGCCACACATCTCTGAGCGGCGGACAAACCTTCTCCCACAGCCAACAGCAGGGCCCCGTCGGTAACAGCCTTCAGGAAAAATCCCGGGTCCCGCAAAAGCAGCCTTCCTCCAAAAAGTCCTCATCCTCCTCAACTTTCTCGTCATCCTCCTCCCAGAACAGTTTGGACTCGGGCCGTTCGGCAGGCTCTGGCCGCAGCTTCGGCTCCTCCTCGGGCACCAACACCTTCTTCCGCACCGGCGGTGTGAGAGGCTTCGAGTTCCAGCAGGAGGGCGGCGTCATCACACGCTCGTCACACCTGCGTGGCTTCGACACCCGGCTGCCGGCGTTCCACGAGAACGTGGTCATCAGCGACCCGGTGTTCAGCAGCAAGGACATCAAGCCTGGATTCACGTGAGTACACATCGATCATGGACGCACCAGTCCGTGTCGTTATAGCTGAACTTTGGTGATGGGTGGCTGGGACCTTTGGTGGTGGGCGGCTGATCATTTATCAAACTGGTTTGTTTTATTCATTACTAGTGTTAAGTGATTGTTTAACGGTTATTTTCGTCAACATGTTAGTTAGGTAATTATCATCGTAGACGTGGCTGCGCTCGTCTACTGCTGCTGAAAGTGACCGAATCTTGAGCCGCCACTAAGATACCACCTAAGTCCGTTTAGATTGTTCCATGGATTTATCGTAGATAGGTATTTGTAGGATTGGGTAAATGCTTAATTGTTTAGTCTCGTTGTGAAATCCCCATCCCTCAATATTACCTGTGTATGTTTCCGGAAACTATAGGAACTAAACAATGATTGGAATATGCAAGCCTCGTTCCGAATATTGACAAGATGATGCACAACGCTCACGTTGGTCCTAGCCTTGGCGGTTTTGGTAATGAAGTGGGATGTCAATTAAATCATTTATTATTAGCTTTATCGTCGTTCCGCTATCGAAACATTCTTTCTTACATTCAACGGATTCCTCCCTCCATATCAGCAGCCCATTACGTTCACCACAATAGTTTTCAGCACTCGGCACTGCGCGACCCTGTGCCTGCGAGGCGAGGACGGCATCCCAATTACCCCCACCGCAGGATTCATCGGTATTGTCATCGAGGCCTTCCAATCGGAACGGCTGGCTGAGGTCCAATGGAGCATACCCTGGGAGCGAGCTGGGGAATAAATGAACAGATGTAATGGCAAAATGAGAACATATCAAATCTCTGTTGCACAGATAACAGTAGTACTACTGTTATCTGTGTCTGTTGCTATTCTAGGCCAGAAAGGATACAGTGCATTATTTTCACTAAAATTTCCTTTTAAAAATTGATTGATGCTAGTTTTGTTTTATTTTCCACATTCGAGCAAATGTTAAACATATTGTTTTATAGACGGTTCCGACGTTCGAGTGAGTCATGGTCTGGCTGACCTCCCCTCTCGGCGGAAGCGCATGCACATGAGCTGCGCTGGTGGTCTGCCGGAGGGTCCCGCTGCGGTCCCTCTCGGCTGGCGCGGACCGAGGCCGCTTGTGATACCGGTCCTCGCGGAACAGTCCGAGGGAGGCTCCGGATGGTACGGCGGCCTTCAGAGCAGCCAGCCCCCGTCCCAGACGGGCCTGGGGAGCGGCGGAAACTGCCGAGAGGCCGCGTCTGACCGTCTGCCGTTTATCTCCGCCGCTCATGGAGCCGGCATCTCTGCCCGCCGGCGGACGCCAGGTGCGCGCTGGGGATGGCACCGGCGGCCCGACCTTGGTCTGACGGACCCGGTCGAGGAGGTCGGCTCGGTCTTGCCATGAGTGCTCTGGTCAGAAGGGAAGGAGGCGGACTGGCGCGGTGGAAGGCGAGGGCAGTTTTTACCTACCCTGTAAGACGGTCGGGACGGTCCATATGAGTCAGATCCGGTAAGGGCCCGGTCCGGTGAGCGGCGAGCCCAGTTGGGAGCTCTGTCGGTACCGGGGGGCAGGGGCAGTAGCTCAGACTCAGACCTGGTCGGACCGACACCAGCTCACCATTGGTGAAGGTCGCTGGGTCACAGGTCAGCCTGGACACAAGGGCGCCGCGGCCCGCGGCCCATCCGGTTCCGACTGGTGACGTCACCTTCCATATGACGTCACCAGGGGTGTGTCACGGCGTTACTGATGCCACCCTTCTCTCTCCTCGTGGGCGAAAAGGCCACGTCAGCGGCCCTGCGTCGTTTCCGCCCCTTCCACTTGCTAACACGGTGTGCTGACAGTCGCGAAGGGCTGCTTTCTTTCGCGCTGCGTTGTTCCTATTGCGTGCGTCGTCTCGGTTCTGACCACGAACATACATAATCCAAGTGAGATGCATGGTTGCTGTCACCTCTTAGCGTCGCAGACAATACCATCTGCAATGCATTTCACACTGACGCTCGTGGACAGCTTTGCATCAGACCTCTTAATTACGAGCGAAACCGGCGACGGAAGAGAAACAAACAAGTCAGCTGTTGCGGCATCGTCCTCGACACAGTGCACACCGCCCTGTCGCTCGCTGTCCCTCTCGCTGTCACCCGTTGACATGTCTTTCTCGAGCGTCGGACGGCGGCACGCGGCACGCGCGGTGCAGCTGCGGGGTCGCTCTGTGACGGCTGGGGACGGTTTCGCCGGCAGTTCGGTCCCGCTCGGGCGACGAACACTTTGTGGCAGAGTCCGTGTCACCACAGTGTGGTTAGGCGAGTTTCGCACGCCGTCATCTCCGACCGGCGGCGACGGGGTGTGAGTTGGTAACGTCACACTGGGTGCCGACCGCCAAACGCCGCGGCCGCGCCGTTTGCCCGCGGCGCGGTCTGCAAATCACCCGGAACGACTGGGGGCTGGTGGGAGTCGGTGTCATCGGCGGGTTTCTACCTCGCGGTAAAATGAGTCAGAAGACGTCAGCGCCTCAGTTGATATAAGCAAGATTTTAGCAGATGCTGAACTTTTCTGGTTATGTATTGCTTCCTAATAATTGGCCTTATTAACTTTCGACTGATAATGACGAATAATTAATTGATGATGATGATTATTGTTTTATTAATGTCAACGTTCACAAAAAGGTACGCATTAGTCGTAGGTACGAACTACACATGAAATCAACGCTGCTTGCACCGAATTCGTGGTTAACCTCCATGGAAGTTAAAGGCCTTTTATGCTTGGTGGCTGTAACACATAGGCGATCGAGTGCGCAACATTTACCAAGGTGAGCAAATAATAGTATTTGTTTCATCACTTTAAAAATCGTTGCTAACCTAGAACGGACTTTGTCTTCCCTTGTTGCCATACGTTATGTCTTGTGCAGAATTATAAGTGGGTAATGTTTAGTCTTGTAAAGGTAAATAATACGTTTCCAAAGAAACAGGCATTCGTGTGCACTCTAAGAGAACCGTTTCGGTATTTCATAACGCACCTCTACTCGACTGTTTATTTTCCCTAACACCATTAGTCCGTAAATGGCTGGCTGTCTGCGGATGCCCATTTATTAATGCCGGAGCTTCTTGAGGCCAGTAATTCGCTGCTGATTATACTTCTTTGATCGGCTGGCCAGCGAGCAAAGCCCACAGGCTGATTATGGAGGTGGTACGGACAGGTTGTCCTTTGCCGGATGTCGTAACATGACAAACGAAGGTCCCCAGGTGCGCGTCTTTGCCACTCTCCAAACGCAGCTCCATTCAACTTCAATTCCTGAACAAGCAATTTCATTAGTCTCACACAATGCATTAAGCTCTGTTTTATTGGTGCCTGTAACATAGTGTCACATTCAGCGCAAGAACCGCTAAAAAATACTTGCCGCATAATGCACCTATCTGCATATGGCGGGCGTGATTAAACGCGCTGGCGTCCGCGCTGCCCTGATCATTAGCCATGGCAGGCTGGCCACACTGCAGGGCCGGAGGGCAGATTTCGTCACTGGCGTGTCACACCGGCACCTGCACTGTGACACGCGGCAGACGTGGGAGCGTCACTACCCGTGACGGCCGGCCCATAACGGGCTGTGACGGCTGGCCTGACCTGACCCAGTGTCCAGGTCGGCCGCAGTCTGAGCATTTATATGATAATTTGCTTATTTTGTGGTTCATGACATTTAAAAAAAAAAACTTTTTAGAAATACTTTCTAGAACAATGCTTCGAAAAAAAATATTGATATCAATATGATCTTAATATCCATGTGTTTTTAGCCATATGAAAACATGACAGAGAAAACAAAGCATTCTGTTTAAATATATCTAAGGCTGTTTCTTTTATCATGCCCATGTTATGATGTGAATGTTTATTTGAGCGTGCGTTTTTTGCCAACATTGCCGGAAATTCTACCTTTCATATCTATGTGCAATTCCCCGCCATTGCCAAACTGGCCACCCCGACAGCGACGTCCGTGTGGGTGGACGGCTGCATAAGGGGCGCGGGTTGACACCGAGCCATGCCCACTGCCGACCTCTTCTTGCAGACAGCACTTTCACTGGCTCGCGCCGCTCCTATAGTCGCGAGACAACGGCCTGTATATCAGAACAGCGCCGAGCTATGACGGAGGCTCAGGAATTGGTGACGTGTGTCTGGGTGTGATCCTGTCTCCTAATTAAGAATGTGTGAGGACCCTTGGCGGCGTTATTTATCGATTGGTCAACCTGGGGCTGAATCTATCATTCGTGACCGTTAATTATCGTGACATCTGTAGTGCTTTCTTCAAGCAATCGGTCACGACTCAGGCCGGGGGTGATCGGTTGTCCGTCCGTCTCCGGTCTCGTGAGAAGGCTCCCATCAGCCCTGAGAGGTGGCCTTAAATGGTAATCGGCATTGTTGAGGACAGAACAAACGGTGCATCGATCAGTTATCGGTGTCCCGACTTTCCGAAGGCCCATCCTTATCTATGAAGACTGGTTCGAACAGTCCGCTCCAACAGTTGCCTCTCGAACATCTTATCGCCAAAGTAGCGGGTTGAAGTTATCTGCGTTGTCTAAAAAGGTGTGCCTCAATGCCCTCGGAAGCCGGGTTCCATGGGCTCTGTCAAAGGCTGAGTCATCTCCACCACTCCCACATGAATCGATTCACCGCCTTTAGCCCTTTGAGCGAATATGTGCATTCACGAGCCTGTGTGATGAAGAGAGCCACTCGACAGCGCACGCCGCACTCCTTACATATTTCACTGAGTAAAACCGCGGCACGCTATTCACATATCTCATCAGATAAATCCTGGGTCGTTGCTTGTCCTGAAGCTCCAGTCACTCGGCAGTAGCTGAATGCCGACACATTGTTCGTGAGGTCCCGGTCTTAGAGAGGGCTTGTCGCTGGAAGGCCCCTGCCGTGCGGTGGGGACTCTTCACGGCTGGATTTGACGGCACGAGCCTGTAGGTGGACACGCAGCCACTAATCTTACAGATAATGTGTAACCACAGAGTGGTGTCGAAACACAGTCGCTCACGTGCGTCAGTTTCCGTTTTGCGTTCGTCGGTATGGCGGCGGGGGGCAGTCGATTACCATGAGACTGGCATGCACATCGAACCACGCGGCACACTGGTTGCGTAACGCAGCCGGCGGAAACTGTAGAATTATACAAATCATGCTCCAAGATGAAATCACAGGTCAGATAAGACTTATTGCGTCTGGCGGCCACACGCTATGACGGCCTCTCTTCGCTCTTGCGTGCGGTAATTTAACACATTTGTCGGTTCCTGTTAGCCTAGTTTGTCATGAAAGCAGGTCAAAGCACAGCTATCGTTAAAGAGAATGAAAATCATGCAAGCTTTACTATAATTGCTGATTTTACCTTCTAGGACAGTCCCATTGTGAATATTCGTGCTCGCCTCTAGGCTAAAGACAAGCTGTTGCCCTTGGCTCTCTCACAGAACCCAGCCGAGCAGTGGCCTTCAGCCGAACCCTCCGTTCCACTGCCTGTTCCTTTATGGGACACGAACTCCCTCAGTGCGGTACCGTGATGCCGGTCGTGGATCCTGTGACGTCATAAGATCAAAATCTGACTGAGAAAGGAGGCGACTAATTGGTTTTACGGTATCTGGTGGGCTGTGCTCTCAGTTAATGGCCAAATCATGAATTCTATGAGCTGATTAATCTCTAATTTGCTGGTTGAAGTCATCGGCTTTAGCATAGTTGCCAATCTAGAATTTTGAAGATTGCACTTGCCATTTCAAACATCATATTTGTTCATACCTTGCATGATGCATGTTTTATAGAATAACTGTTTTGAACCTTGAAGTGAAGTTTAATTGAAATGAGAAATATCGTCAAGGAATGTGCCTGACTTTATATGAGAATACGATTTGAGCGAATATGGGATAAAATGCAATAATTCTTTTGACATTTCCACTTCTATAAATGACATTTCTCGCTTCTGTTTGGCGCGGTGTTCTCTACCTATTTATATAGCGGGGGATCAAATGCTTGTTCAATTTACTTCGTCTCGCCAACGAACAATAAATTCATGCTTGAGTACCAGACAAGTTTCGTCACAATCCTATTCCCAAATTTGACTACCAAATTGAGTTACAAAACACCTTCACACATATTGCAAGAGAAGCCCTTCCATTCAGCAGCCATCAGATTTGGTGCGTTCCATGCAAATCAGAGAAGAGGTTGGCTTTGCAGTGCAGCAGATGTATAAGACATGGCACAGGATCTGGCCGTCTGCCGGTGGAGGCGCGTTGTATCAGATAGCCCACACCATTCCACTGGCAGGGACAAGTCAAGAGGGACGAGACGGGATGGGACACAGTGCGACAGAGCCGGATGGCTCGGAAGGGACGGGCAGGGACGGGAGTGGACAGACGGAAAGGAGACTGCGATGCCGCATCACTGTCTATCTCTGACAGCGGCGCTGGGGGTCGCCCATTGCGACAGACACGTTATAGCATAGGGCTTGGCCGCCTGGGCCGGTTCCTGCTGTTGCTCAAGCCGGCTTTATACGAGTAGGGAAAGGGAAATGAATACAAATTGATGGTCAGTGAGTGTAAAGTGTCAAGATGCCCGCGCCGAGTCAGTGTTCCGCTGGGTAGTTGATGATGCCCACCGTCAGGCAGAGTTGCTAATCACTAGGCTCGAGAGCATCATCAGCCTCAGGCTATGAACGTTCGAACGCCGTAAAACGTGGTCTGTGTACATACAGGACGCGTGTCCTAGCGAACAGTGATGGTCATGAATGTAAGCTTTATTAGCGGGCGTTGACAGGTACTGACGTCCTTTCCAAAGAATATACCCGGCGCATCCGTCTTCGTTTCAGCATTCATTTGCCATCGCAGAGCGTGAATGGCTGCTCACTATGATAATAGCAGAGGTGTGCATCATCAACGTGAGATGTAAGGCCAGTGATGTGCCTCTTGCGCCATGATTCGGCTCGGGTACGGCGTCCATACACTGCCGTTCGGCAGTCCTCGGAATACCAATGGACAGGTATAATTATGATGAGACTTTAGCCATACGGGAGTGCACGAATTGCGTGTTTTATTAGCTGACGTAGATCAACACCCTGCCCAAAACTCATCACCGGCTTTGGAACTTTCTTCCCTTCTCCTTTCACTATATCTGTTGCCTAGCCCCCGCGTTATATATTAAATGTCGAACAAAAGTTTAGCCTCGACATAAACAAGATCTGTCCTCTAACTTTCCACACGACCGATAAGTTCAGCTCCTGTGGCACCCCATCACCGCACGGTCAACAATACCCCGTAGGTAGGCCCCCAAGTACCCCGTAATCCCGTGCGCACTCCTTAGTCCTCCCAGTCCCTGCACCTGCTGGCGGCATCTGGCTGACCCCGCCGCCCGTCTCCGTACTGCAGGTGTGAGGGCAGGCCGTACGGGTACTACGCCGACGAGGCCAACGACTGCAGCATCTTCCACATCTGCCAGCCCGTGGACGTCTCCAGCGTCAGCAAGTTCTACACTCGTTACAGGTATGTCAATGTGGGCAAAAATCTCACAAAATTCAGGCAAGCCGCAAAATTAATATGATAAGAAGACCTAGCCGGTATAGAAATGTGTCCATGTCCGACAACCGAGACAGAAATACGGACCAAAATATGGAAAAGAATCCAGCTGTGCACCTGACAAAGGAATGTGTATCTAAACCGCAACATTCTGGAATTCCTATTAGCTATGGCCCGTATTTTTCCGATGCTATGATATGTATATTCTGTGGAGGAGAAGCGATTGATGTCAATGTTTCCAACTTCCAAGCCCAAGACCTACAAACCAGCAAAAAAGCTAGTGGTTTTCTTGTAATTCGATTGAAATACCAGATGCCTAGCCCTTCCAGCAGATTTTGCATCCATCATGTCATCTCCCGGCATTACCATCTGCGATGTGCAAATAGGTAAATCACGCTGCAAGGACAGTAATGGCGTGGTGCGTCTGCCCAGCGGCGATTCCCACGCATAGGCCTGCTCACGTGTATAATTATGCGGTGCGCTATTGAGTACGCATCGAGCAAACGTCCAATTATCTCCCTTGCGCCGCCGGACTTTTCCTTTCACGTCGTACCGTTACAGCAAGATGATTTGTTTCACATGGAGTTGGCTCCTCACCTGCTGTTTTCACTCTTCATGGAGCATAACCGTGGCGGCAGCATGAAATACCCACTTGCGGTGGATATTCTTTCCCAGGGCTGACGGTCTTCCCTGCCGCCGCTCGCTGGCAGAGAGCGCTATTCTGCAGCGCTGTTGTCTGGCCAAACCACACCCCACCGAGCCGGCACAGATTCCACCGGAGGCAGCCACGCCCGGCTGAATTGTGTCGATTTGTGTTGCCTCACCGCGGCCACTGGGCCGACACGTCCGGTGCAGACTGGCGGTCAGCGGCCGGTCAGGGCTGACCGCTGAGACTGACCGGCCCCGGGGCGGCGGTCAGCGGCCGACCGCGGTCTGACCGGCTCCCGCGGCCTGACCTGACCCAGAGACAGCCCGGGTTCTCTGGGGATACCGACCCAGTGACCGCCCGAGGCCCAGTCACGGCCACGGTCGTTCGGCCCTGGGGGCTGACACGACACTGTACCTCGGCTCACGGTCAGGGTCACGCGGTGGGTCTCAGGGGCGGTCGGCCCGCCGTGCTGCGCACACACCCAAGCGGACGTCTGTGTTACGCCACTCGGCCGTCGTCGGCAGCGGCCCAGCCGGTGATTTTACGGCTCTGCAGTCGGACTAATACGCACGGCTCGGATCGGTGCGTTTGGTGGCTGACGCGGGCCGGCTGTCCCACCCAACTGGGTCAGAGCGGGAGCCGCCCCACTCCGGCCGCCGCCGGCAGCTACTGCAGCCATGGACCCGGCGGCTGAGGGTTCTGCAGATACGCTCTGGTCGGGCCACTGCTGCGTGGGCGGAACGCACCTATGACACTGGAGATTACGGGGGAGCGGCTCACTGCGCTCTCCGCTCCCCAGCAGTGCGTGACGTAATTCACAGAAACAGGCGCAGCTTTTGATTGAGATGGACATTGGGCGTTGACTGTGACGGCAGGAGCACGTCTGAATCAGCGAAGAATGTTCCAGAGAGACTGTCCACCTGGCATCCCTGTCAGCAGTCTGCAATGGATCACCATCGTAGGAGCCCGCCCGCGGCGTCTGGGACAGTCTCGGCGGCTGTCTCCCGCTCCCCGGTCACCACAGTGCATACGGAGCTGCCGTGTGGCTTGCGACAGAAGTGAGGGGGGTCTGTCGGGATGCTAACTCGGAGCCAACGTGCAACAGGGCTGATCACGATGCCGGCTGGGGGCGCGGTTCGCCGCGGCGCCGGGCCGCTCACTCGCGTGATGGGTCGTCCCTGCGGAACCGGTCTGCGCAGCCCGCCGAGATCCCTCCCCAGCCCCCGAGCCGTGCCCATAACAGGATGATCTCACGGCTGCGCAGAGGAACGTCAATCCGTCAGAGCGCGCAGCGCGGCGGGAAGCCAGAGGCTTCCGTTCGAGCTGTGTTACAACCATTGCTGTTCGGCAAGCTGCTCGCGGAGGACTGAAATGGGAGGGGCCTGCCAATTACCTCATTTGTTCCCAGACTGTAAATTGTTTTCCGGGTGTTTATCCCAGGTGTTTGACCTTTTTACGCCCAGGGTGGCACCGGGAGCTGACACCCACACCATCATAGCACAACCTTCGGAACGCCCCATGAATAGGTTTTGTTCGTCTAGAAACCGGATTTGTTATTGCGCTGATAGGTGTGGGCGAATCCAACAGAAGTTCCATTGTCAGTAGGCGAATAACCAGTATTGTCTTGGTGTGTGAAGGTGTTTCCGACCGTAAACAATAAACAACGTGGCACGTCTCAATGCATTCTGGAAATACTATCGCCCTGTGCCTGCATATTTGCTTCGAAAAAAAAATCAAGTCACATCACGAACGCCAAGCTAACATCTACATTCTACATAGATAGTATACGTGATCTGTGGGTACGGTCGGCAGTTTTACACAGGTTCGACTTCATTCTGTTATTCTCCTGAGAGTGTCAGCATTACAATTGTTTTGGCAGGTACTCGTCCACTGCAGCGCATATACGCGGTGTCGGACATCTAGCAGACATTTCCCCCCTAAAACACTGTGTGTGTGTGTAACGCTCTTTCTGTGTGTCCCGCAGCTTCTTCTGCGGCGCGGAGACCCGTTTCGACCAGTCCAAGCTCTCGTGTCTACACAAGGACGACGCCATGCCGTGCTCAGAGTCGGCCAGCTGGCTTTTCCGTAACGACGAGTTCGGAATTCAGGAGAAGCGCTCGAACGAGCAGAGGTTCAAGGATGAGGTGCAGGGCACGCCGGCCGTCGTCTGATGGCCCCACAGCGGTCATCTGAGGTCGCCGAGGGTCACAGGGATTCGCCCGAGATCGCCAGAGATCACCTGACGTCAACGGGGTCACCTCAGGTCACAGAGGTCACCGGAGGTGAACAGAGGTCACCAGGGGTCGTCACGCCACGCGACAGGACCATTAGGCGAACGGTGTGACGTGACTCACAGGCCCCGTGACCCGCGTGATGTGTGACGTGCTGGACTTATCGCATGTGACGTATGTGACGTATGGCTCACCGGTGCCGTCACATGTGTGACGTTTGACTCATCAGATGTGATGATAACACTGCCTGTCAGGGAGCGTGAACGGCAGAGGCAACACTGGCAAATAGCGCGTCCGTAAGCAGAGTCAGACGGGCAATATGATCCGCGTGACTGTGTTGGACTGATTGTGTGGGGACGGAGAGCGTCCGAGCACGAGCTCACACGGAGTGGGACAGGTGACTGTGTTGGACAGAGTGTGTGGTGACGGAGAGCGTCCGAGCACGAGCTCACACGGAATGGGACAGCCGTGACTGTGGTGCGCTTGGGTGCGCTACATGCCATGGACGCGAGTGGGATGTGATATTCGAGCGGTGTGCGTTGTAATGTGTGTGCTATTGAACCATGCATCGAGGAGGCAGATGAAACTATTATAGATGCAACGAGTGACGACTGTCGTGGAAGTCACAATTTTGGACCGGTTTTTCATTTTGTAATGGAATGGCTACAGTGAAGCTACATAAAGCTACACCTATAAATTTTGTTGACATATTGCAGGACGCTTCAAACCGTTGAAAATTAGACTTCCTGTAAAGTGACCTCGTACAGACAAAGCGTGTCCAATTGGTTCATGTCTTGGATGTGTGCTTCACTTGTAAGATCAAATGTAATATAATTGAATGCTTGCCCCAGAACCCACTCCGTTTTGCTGCAATGTGCGCGCTTCATGTGTATGCTGTCCGTATTGCGTAAACGTATGGATAATGGATATGGATGAGTGATCGCTCCGCATCAAGAGGCATGTTCAATAAATATAGCTGCATGAACCGTGTGTTTGCATTTTGATGACTGGCTTTGTCTTCTGAGCCTGATGGAGCAATGCAGGACGCCGCTTCACATTGCTGAACCTCTGACTACCGATTACAGAGGCACACAATTCACATACAAACTACGAAGTGTAGAGGTCATGAAACGCAAAGTGTTGTAACGTGAGTTCTTTATTCACAACCAAAGCCGCATAGCGTGAAACTTCCCAGAGCGCCAAACACCGATCGCTCCTGCAGCAACCGCACTCCGCGCGGGCCGGCGGCCGACTCCTCTCGAACCCCGCGTCTGCGCCGCCAGTGGCGTCGCCGGGCCCCCGGGCAGGGGGGAGCAAGTGGCGTCGCCAGGCCCCCGGGCAGGGGGGAGCAGCTCGCGACACCACACCCTGCCGCCCTTAAAACGGAACACATTTTAAACCGGAACGTGGAAACAAACACATTTTAAACCTCGGCGATCAGTCGCCTCGGGCACCTCCGGCGCCGAGCGGAACGGCGTTGCGAGGGGCCCTCAGTGTCCCCGCCGCCCCTTCCGCCGCCGTCACCGCCATCACCGCCACCGCCGGTGTGACTGTAGCCGCTGAGGTCACCGGTATCACCGCCGCCGCCGAGGTCACCGGCACTACCGCCGCCGCTGACGACATCACCGCCGCCGCTGAGGTCACCGGCACTACTGCCGCCGCCGGGGCCGCCGCAACGGTTTCCCGCGCTTTCCCGAGCGGGGGAGTCACGTGACTGTGACGCCACAATCACGTCACCGAGTGGAGAGTCCCGGCCAATCACCGCGCCGTGCCCGTCTGACGTCACCACCGGCCGGTCCAATCACAGTGCGGCCCGCCAACGCCAGCGCCGCCGTCCGCTGCGCAACATGGCTGCCACCACGATCGGCCATCGGGCAAAAAACTGGCACGCCGCACCACTGGCGGATCCAGGCTTGCGTTTTGGGGGGGGCCAACTCATGCGGAGCCAAACCTAGGGTACCCCCAAATCCTGTTTTCTCATCGGATTTAGGCCACTTATTTTTCGTCACAGCTCTGACACTATTAATATTTTTTTTAACTAAAAAGAAAAATATATAAATGGTAGTCCACCCGACCCATGCCTTTATATTACTTTGTGAACACTTACCATTGCTTTTGTCGACCAGTTAACCCGCTTCGAGTCAGTTCTTGGGTCCCTTTGCGGGCCGGGAGGTGGTAAAACACCCCCAGTCTAACTCGGCTCCTGGGCCACGCACTGATTGAACTATGTTTCATTATCGATTGGGGGAGGGGCAAACGGGCCACTTTAGGCCTCTGGGAAAGGGGCATGGCCCTAAATGCCCCCTCCCTGGATCCGCCAGTGTAAGACACCATTGGAGCTGCAGTTGGGTACCTCAGACGTCAGGGTACGCCCTCAGATGTATAGGACTTGCGTGGAGACCTCTTATGCTGTAGTGGACTGAAAGGACCCAAAGGAGCCCGTCTAGGGCTCCCGGAGAATGGAGATAGACGTGGGCCCTCAGGAGCCCGCCAGAGCCCCCAATGAGGGATAAGTGAGGGATACCAAGTGCCTGCAATTGCATATTGCATAAGCCATAACGCCTTTACAAATCAATATATTATGTATCAGTGGCAGATACAAGGGGGGCCACATGGGTCATGACCCCCCTTGGTGCCCGGGGGCACCACCGGCCAAGCAGGGGCACCACCGGCCTAGCAGGGGCACCACCAGCCCGCCAGGGGCACCACAGGCCTAGCAAGGGCACCACGGGCCTGTGACAGGTCCCACAGGCTTGTCAGGGACACCCCAGGTCTGTCAGGGACACCAGAGACCTGCCAGGGGCACCACCGGCCTCGCAGGGGCACCATGGGCCTGTTAGGGGCACCAGAGGCCTAGCAGGGGTACCACAGGCCTTACAGGGGCACCACCGGCCTTGCAGGGGCACCAGAGGCCTAGCAGGGGCACCACAGTCCTGTCAGGGCCCAGGGGCACCAGGGGCCTAGCAGGGGCACCACAGGCCTGCCAGGGGCACCACCGGTCTAGCCTTTACAAATCAATATATTATGTATCAGTGGCAGATCCAAGGGGGGCCACATGGGTCATGACCCCCCTTGGTGCCCGGGTGGTGCCTGTCAGGGGCACCACCGGCCTAGCAGGGGCACCACCAGCCCGCCAGGGGCACCACAGGCCTAGCAAGGGCACCACGGGCCTGTGAGGGGCCCACAGGCTTGTCAGGGGCACCCCAGGTCTGTCAGGGACACCAGAGACCTGCCAGGGGCACCACCGGCCTCGCAGGGGCACCATGGTCCTGTCAGGGGCCCTGCCGGCCTCGCAGGCATCACGGCATCACGCAGGGGCACCTTGGGCCTGTCGGGGACATCACGGGCCTGTTGGGGGCGCTTTAGGCTTGTCAGGGGCACCGCAGTCCTGTCAGGTCCCAGGGGCATCAGCAGCCTAGCAGGGGCACCCTAGGCCCGCCAGAGCCACCACAGGCCTGCCAGGGTCCAGGGGCACCACAGGCCTAGCAAGGGCACCATGGACCTGTCAGGGGCACCTCAGGCTCCCGTGCCCCCCCCCCCCCCCCCTGGATCGGCCAGTGATGCCACACCACGCGAAACACCGCCAACTACCAGCTGCCGCGCCATAAACACGTGCCAACAACAGTCTTTTTTTAAGGTCGACTCCTCTCGCGCAACTTTTGACTGACCCTCACTGCTACCATATTGCTTCCATATTATGCTGTGGAAAGCTTTACTTCACCAAGTGGCTAAAAACCTCCATCAAGGTATATTTTCTTAGCATTTTTTCGGACGTTTTGGGGGGGGCCAAACCGGCCACTTTAGGCCTTTGGGGGGGCCATGGCCCCCGTGGCCCCCCCCTGGATCCGCCAGTGCGCCGCACGCGTATCGCCGCCGGGCGACGGGCAAACCAACGAACACATGCAGCAGCGAAAAAAAAAACTAAGCACTAAGCCGCACTAAGCATTTCAATTTAGCAACCGTTTCGCTCCGCATCTTACCGTCCGTCCTCAGTGCCCACTCGCTCGCGCCCGAATCCCGGCCATCACCACCGCGCGACTCACAGTCACAACTGACGTCTGGCATGTCCGCTGCATGTCATCCTTGTCGCCAGGATGTTGTAACGTGAGTTCTTTATTCACAACCAAAGCCGCATAGCGTGAAACTTCCCAGAGCGCCAAACACCGATCGCTCCTGCAGCAACCGCACTCCGCGCGGGCCGGCGGCCGACTCCTCCTTGGAGGAGTCGGCCGCCGGCCCAAGGCCCTATATACCAGGTAGGGTCGTCCGGCGATTCTACCTTTTCGTGACGTCAGCTCGTGACGTCATTTGGAGTCAAGTCTCGAAGCCCCGTTCAATCCCCATGTAAATGAGCGATTTTCGAAACACTGTAGAATGAAGTCTGCACAAGATATATCAAACCTAAGTATCTTATCTGAAAGAGCAGACAATTTTCTGCAAGTTATCTATTACGTGTTTTTCGCTAAATCTTTTGCTTTTTTCACAAAAGCGTAAAATGTCCCCCTATGTCTCCGCAGCCTCCCTGCCGCCGGCCGCCGCGCGGTCGCGGTAGTGTAGTGGTTAGCGTGCCCGCGCAGTATTCCAAAGGTCCCGAGTTCGAATCTATGCGGTGCGGAACTTTAATTGCAATTCCAAGCTGAATATACGCACATCCATAATAAATTATTATTCGTATAGCTAAACTGTCACCAAGCTATCCATATAAATTGACTTCACCCAAAATATCGGCAAGATTCTTTTAAAATATAAATTCAAATATGGCGGCTTGGACTGCCGCGTGCGTTAGGCTCCGCCCATAGCTCCGCCCACATGCGTGACGTCATTCGTGTTAGTGGACACACGCGGAGATAGGGGACGACATGGGCCTGGACTCCTCTCGAACCCCGCGTCTGCGCCGCCAGTGGCGTCGCCGGGCCCCCGGGCAGGGGGGAGCAAGTGGCGTCGCCAGGCCCCCGGGCAGGGGGGGGAGCAGCTCGCGACACCACACAAAGCATCAAAGATCTATATAAAATATCGTTGTTGTTTGCTCAAAAACAATTATAGGTACAAAGCTAGATGATAGAAGGAATAAGTACGAGCGGATCACAACAGACTAAAATCATAAAAATGTCAAAAACGGATGTTTGAGTAGAAAGATGTTAAAAGCCCTGGTTTAAAGCACGTGACAGCAGAGAGTAGGAACGAGAGTCAATGGGCCTCGGTGCCACGAGTCGCGCAGAATAAAACTGATTGATTGCAATTATGGTGGAAATAGGTATTACTTATGTTGGACTATGCTCTCTAACTGGTGAGCCTCTACTCCTTATATTCAAATGTGCTTATTTAGCCCGCGCGGGGCTGGGGTCTCCAGCCGAACGCGCGGGGCTGGGGGGGTAAATTTTACCCCCCCCCCCCTGTTATCTCCCGAACTAATGGTCCGATTTGGAAAATTCAAGCGCCAATCGAAAGCTCTCATCACGAACTACTAAAAACATGTACTTAAGCTAAAGTTTGAGGTCAAGGTCAAGGTCAGGTCAAGGGTACAATTTGCAAGTTTCTACAGTATCGGCCTTGCACCGTAGTTGCCGAAGAATGGAGTCATGGACTGAGACTGATCGCCCAAAACGTGTTCTTAGGCTACCAAGACAATATTCGTTGCATACAATATCATTCAGAGGTCAAGGTCAAGGTCAGGTCAGGCCAGGTCAGGTCACCAAAAAACAAAATATAGAAAAGGGCATGTGCGACACATGTTTTATGGGTCATTTTACTCATAGAATTCAACAGGCACACTCAATAAGTGATATGGACCACCTCTGGATGAATTTCAGGTCGAGGTCAGGTCAAGGTCAGGTCAAGTGAGGTCAAATTTTGAAGTTGGTTGTTAACCCTCGCCCGCACATGGGGGGGGTGGTTGCCACCCCCCCAGGCAGTCTTTCTGCTCTGCACTCAACATTTTTAGAGCTAGAAGGCTGATTTTTCGTATAGCTGCTCGTCTATCCTTTC